TGTGCATGCGTCAATAGAAAAGGATCACATTACATTACACTCATTTACTTTTTAATATTCCTATAATTAATGAAGAAAACAATTTAATGGGATAGGTAAATAACTTTGACACATTATTATTGCATTTATTTTTTATTATAATAACAACAGGTTTATAATTAATTAATACCTGTATCTGATGATTTTTTGATGGCATTCTAGGACTTAGCTGCATTCTTAACACATTCCAGACTTTAATATAGTAAAATAAACAGACTTGCGTTTTGGCACAAAATAAATTAATAATAATAAATATTAAAAGAAAACTTAATACATAATGAAGACGTCCTTGTTGAGTGAATATTTTCGAAAATTATTAAAAAGTACGTCATTATCCTGATCATGTCACACATCTCTTCATGTATCCCAAGCAGGAGTTAGTGCAGCAATCACTGTGGTATGTACACTGCAACAATTATCACACAAAATATTATGGATGTAGCTAAAATCAAACACCAAATTTATTGCTATCACACTAATATTAACTTTATTTAACCTATATTATGTTAACCTATATTATAAAGGCGAAAGTTTGTGAGTGTGTATGTTTGTTACTTCTTTACGTCTAAACGGCTGGAGCGATTTTAATAAAATTTGGAATGGAGTTAGCTGACACCGTGGATTAACACATAGGCTAAGTTTTACTACGGGAACATATCTCTTATAAACCGCGGGTGGTAACACCACGGAGCACAGCTAGTAATGCTTATATGTCAGAGAACGTGTGGATAGTTATTCCAATAATTCGAAAAATATTTTCTAGGTATGAGGGGAAATTATTTATCGGACTAGGCTAGGTATGAGCTGATACTACAACGACGATATTAAGTAAGTTTACTTATCTAATATTCCTAATTCAAATGTGGATGTATTATTATATTGTACAAATTTTTTGAGGACCTCAGTGCTTGTTTTAATCTAAGCATCAGTGGTATGAGTAGTATGTACACCGGTTTTCAAGGTGTCGCCTATTCAGAAGTACTGGGTTCGAATCCCTGGGGGTCAAATTTTTTACCTGTGTTATACATAGTGTATGTTTAATGTTGTATTTCTTTCTTTATTCTCTTACATGGTGTATTTCTATCTGTTACCCTAGTAATCCCGGTACCTCTTAGCCAGGGCGGTATCCAGGATTGTAGGTATTCAAGATAGGCATCGGTAATATGCAGGATTTGCACAAGAATTACTAAATAAAATTAAATATATTGTCGTTTTCAATCGTATATTTAATATTATTAAGTCAAACTCAAAAATCATTCATTCAGTCTTGGCTGTTACAAGCACTTGTGAAGGGGAAGAAGCTACGCCATTGGTTCGTAAAACCACGGCAGGAGACCTTGTACTGAGAAGAACCGGCAAGAAACTCAGTAAGGGCTGTTTTTTTCTCCCTGTATTATTATATCGTCGTCAAGTTGAAAAATGACTTTACAGTTAGTGCTGTACTCACCTTCCATTATTTACATTATTTACTTCACTACAATTTACTTCAACTAAAAATCTTAGCTTAAGCAGTGTAAAATTTACTAAAAATAATAACACTTACGAACTCTCCTATGGCTGCACACTTGGAAGGGGTAGGCTTAGAAGCCACTTCGATCGGAACATTAATTTTATCCTTAGCTGTTTCATCCTGGGCTACTTCACTTGTAGTCACATCCCCAACTTTCACATCTCTTGATGTGATTACAGATGAATTAACGTACTCGATGGCGAGTACTAAACAAAGAGACAACACAACAACGCTAGTGCGAGACATGTTGAATGGAATACGCCAATTTTACACTGGACAAGCTGTGAAGACGCGTCTGCTATTTGTAATGATGTGTGACACATAACTTGATACTATTGATACTTACTTGGTACATAACATCAATAGATACTTACCCACCCGCATACTAAAACTTAATAACGTGTAGATAGTGTATAGAAGTTGATTCATTTATTCATGAAATTATGCCAAAATTAGAAATTCTGCCCATTATCTCGCAGTTGGTTCATGAATTTAAACGGGTTTTTTAGCAAGACTAGTGACAATAACAACTATTCTAACTCAAGAGTACCGTAAGACGACAGGTCGATTTCAAAAAAGCATTCGACCGTGTGGATTGCTTGATCCCTTTGAGTATCAATAACTTGATCCAGATTAACAAGCTTATGAATCAAGGTATACGTGGAAGATCTCTCTATATAATAATAAAGACTGCGGGGGAATTGCATGAGGCGCAACGTTACGTGAAGATGAAAATAATCAGTATATTTATATTTCCACTGCCTGTGCTTCAGGCTTTCCCTATGGATGAAATTGAAAGAAAGAAAGAATGACCAATGACGTGCGCTCAGTGTAGCTGAGACCAATAACTTTACGTGCCTAGCAAATCACGAAAAAGCTAGATAACATATTTTTTTCTTCACTCATCCTAAAATATATAGCTACAGAAATAAATCAAGAAATTATTACACTTAACGACAAAGCATTATGCAGTAGTATGCAGTGTCGTTTGTTACTAAGTATTTCTCAAATTAATGTTGTTGAGATTCTTTAGTCAGTTCTTCTCCAAACCTAAATAAGTCCTGAACGAAGGTAGGTTAAAACAAAAAAATTTAAATGAATTAATTTCCTTTCGTTCAATTCAACAATACCTGATCGAACGTTTTACTTTACTGTTCAAAAGAGTTTCTTTTATTGAAATGAAAGTGTTATTAATTATATTTAAATTTATTATTTCACTTTTTATTTTATTATATTGTCTTTGGTCATTTTGTTGATTGAAATGTTTACTAAGGTTATACCAGCTATCCAAGGAAATATTTTTAGGAATCTGCTTATCCTAAAGTCATAAACTTACCTGTAAATACACATCCTATACGCGTACCTAAAACTTTAATCTAAGTTCACATTAGTGCAATCTTGTAACCTTCAACAAATGGGCGCAGTGACATTAATAGCTGCTACAGTAGTAGGTGATAGGTGCTTGATTTATTTGCTCTAAATATCTACATTCTATTTACTTTAGGTACTTTACAGCGTGTTAACGTTGGGAAATAAATACTTAACTTAACATTAGTGTAAATTAGCTTAGTATAATCTCCAGTCAGCACTTGTCACATGAATAAAAATATGGTACGGAATGCTTGGTGTCGAAGATCGAATTTCATACAGCGCTTTCATAAGCAGTTCGTGGCTATTCATATTACTTTGTTATTTCAAATAGCCTATTTGTAACTTTGAAAGCAGTATATACTTATCATGACCTATAGGCAATAAAAAGGAGAGACTGTTGTCAAATAGTGAATATAAGGCAAATGATAACGTAACGCATCTTAAAAAACGAAATTCTCTATGATATTTCATTTACTACTTTTTCATTTAATACGTGTATTGAGTGGGTGATTAGATGACAGTACTTAACTTTTTTTTATATAGGTACTTTATACATCATATTGGCCAGCGCAGACGAGACGCCTGAATCGTGAAAAAAATAACACGCGACCATTTGTTCGCATTCTGAGATGTTGAATGAAGTTTAAGATTAAGAAAAGGTGAAGACGTTTTAAAAGAGAATTTAGAGAATACTGGGTCCATCATCCCTTTAATTTTTTACCGAGCACGCAACGCGGACTAGAGTTCGCTGTGTTGCGTTGCTGCGTCAATAATCACATGAGTTCTATTTTTTTTGGGACACCCCCGTGCTTTTATCCAGTCCGGTCTCTCAGCGTCCTCGGTTATTCGGGGGACTTTTTGTACGCGGTTGTTTTAATCCCTTGTGTGCGTTACCTGATACAATTGTAAGCGACGTATTTTGGTCGACAAAAGTCACACGTCTGCGCAGGCTATAAAGAATACAGTATAACTTCTTCTCTTTATGATTCGCATTAATACGATTCAAGATACGATGTGTGTGGTTCGACTCTTAAACAAAACTCTGCCATTTATCCCATCCCCACCTAATGTAAGTGAAAACGTGACGAAAGCTGATGCTTCAGAAAGATGTGCCGCTGCCTTGCGAATTCGTGAATTTGGTTATCCTGTGAAACCCCGGAACCATACTACGAGAAACGCAATATCGCTAAAAGATAATTTTCCTTCACAGTGGTCTTTTGTAAGCTAGAGCTCCACATGTCATCATGTCATCTTCAGCCTATTAATGTACCCACTTCTTGGGCACAGGCCTTCCCTTCCCTATGGATGGAATTGGGAGATTGGGCTATGACATGACCCACCATATGAGCTCCAAATAGATGAAATAGATACCAAAAAACCGCTGTGGCTAAGCTCTACCTCCCTAACCCCACGTTTCTACCAAAAAACAAGTCCTACAGTAATTTAAAAAAACAACCTGTAGAATACATACTTGTTGTGGCTGTTTACGAGTAAAACATTCTTTCGTTTACACTGCGTAGACAACTAGTATGTTACAAGTATAAATCATTTATTTACTTCAGATATATAAAAACCGCTATGGCTAGGTATATCTAGATTGATAGATATTCAGATACCTATTTTGTTTATCCAACAAGTTTGATGCAAGTATTGTATAGTACATGTTTTATATATTTATATAAGTGTGAACAAAAATTAATACATTGTATAAAATCTGTACCCTTTATTGCACCTTGGTGTAAACGACAGTACCGCCAATTTACAAATAGTTTCTAATTGATAAAAAGATACCTACACAAAAAAACTATAGTATTCTATACTTACGCAAAATGTTGCTGACATTGGGGCAATGGATGCCCCAGGGGCATCCATCCCATTCTTACTACCTAATGATGACGTAAGTAAGATTGCAATTGTTTTAGGTAGAGGTATCGTACGTAGTTAGGAAATAAATTTAAAGCTGTGTTTTAAATAATGCAATATATTCGTACACTTAAGAAAAATATTATCATCCCGCACCAGAAACACAAGAATTATGTACTATCCTGGCTTTTCGTCCAAGTCCTCATATTTATTTCTTTTAACCCCAATTAAACACATTCGGCAGGACATTATTTGGTTTTTGGTTCGGAATCGAATTAGGATTTGGTGAAAGGTTTGTTAATATTGGTGATAATATTGGAACAGGATTGAGTTCTGTTGGGATGGGCACTAATTCCAATAACTTCTTGATTTCATTTTGACACACCGACCCTAACAACCGATCAGCCATATTGCCCCAAATGCCCATCTGGCAGAATCTGAAAATATTAATTGCATTATTAGGTAATAAGTTAAGTATTAAGATAAGTAAGTAGATATTATTTTCTGCAGTGATTTGTCAATAATGTGTGTGTATGTGCAATGCAATACTATGATTAACTATTTTCTAGTATTTTCATTGTGTGCTGTTCTTCTTATTAAAAAGTTCAAAATAGTAATCAAATGCTACAAGAGCCGTGGATTAGAACTTCAAAGTACCTTTCCTACAGCCAATTATATATTGCTTACTTACCTAAAGCTCTGATCCAAATTTTCAGACTTGAGGTTATCAGTGATTTTAATCAATGTATCTTTTGATCTAAGGAAGGGAAAAAGTGGTTTTGACTGGTTTGTGTTTTTGTTTTCGGACTTCAAATTGTGAGCAAATTGAGAAATTACTCCAAGGAAATTCTTCCGTACATGGGAGTCCATTTGGGAAACTGTCCCCTCCACGGAATTGCCATTATCGTCCAGAGGATCAAATATATAAGCCAAGTCATCACCGTGAGCGGGCCCGTGTCTTTTTGCTTTGCTCACTGCCATTTCACTTGATTCCTCTGCAAAAAATGTAATAATCATTAGAAACTAGGTAAGGTATCAATTCAACCTACTCCATACCAATCCGGCGATAATGGGTGTTATTTATAAAGTATTCATATCTTTGTTAGCAAAAAAAATTAACGGCTAGCTGAAATAGCTAGTTGGGCAGCTACTTATGGTCAACAATTTTTTTTTAAATCATTCTACAATTTATTTATATCATTCTGAAAAGCAGTATATTTTTGTACAGCCATACAGGATGATTGGATGATGAGTGCGAAGCTTTAAAAGGAAACTTGCATAGTTCATTTAGAACCCTTTAAGCCATGTTTACATTAGACAAAGTACCTATGTATTTTTTTTTAATTCTTGTTTATGACTTTTGACCATTTTTTAATATTATTGTCCAAATCTTCCAATTATGAAACCATCGCTTTCGCTTACATTATACTTCAAGGGCGGTAGAGTCATTCTCCATTTACAAAAAACACCCTTTACATTTCTAGAATATTAACGTAATAGTGATTACCTGCAAGGGCTACTCCCGGCAAGAAGTGAGAGCCTTTGGTGAGGTTTCCATTAAATTCGAAGCTGTAGAGGTACGCTGGCGCAGCTTGGCTCCAATCCTTTACGCTCTTGAACGCCGGGAAATTGAACAATGCGTCCCCTTACACAAAACAAAATCCCCTTAATACAAATATATACTTAATATTTAGTTATTTAGAGTCTTGTAGTCTACGGAATGCTGTATTGCTGATGTGGGTCGGGTCGTAGTGCAAAAATTAGGCTCAAAGCGCTCATATGTATTTAGTATAAACTACAATAGACCCGCGGTAATCCGACAAACGTTTTGCAAGGCGATGCCGGATTATCGAATTTGTTGGAATACAGAATACTGTCCGAGACTGTAGACTATTAGTACACTGTGTTAGAGTTGGAGCCCAGACAGGCCGCATCGCACCCAACCAAAGTATGCATAGTAGGCATAATTAACATCATTAAATAGTTCATAATTGTCATCATTGAATCATACGAGCAATTTGAGTGAATTTTTGCATTGCGACCCACCCGACCCGCTGCGGCCCGTCAAATTTACTCTCTTATTTTGTGGTCATAATGTACACGAACCTTTAGATCGCATACCTATTGTAGTTGGCAAGACCTGCGCTTTTTCAACGCACCTAAAAAGAGCAATACGCAATACGGTTGGCTTTGATTGATTTAATTTTCCTTTTTTTTAATTATTATATGTATGTTACATATAATAATTTAAAAAAAGGAAATTTTAAAATGAAGAGAAATATACCTATTTTTTTTTACCTTCAGTGTCATGCTGCTCAAATAATAAAATTTTACCAGAAAAAAGCTTTCACATAAAAATTATTATTTTCTTTATTTTCACCGACTTATAAAAAGAAGGTTATCCATTTTACTCGTACGTAATCTTTAAAATTACAAATAGGATAAAGCCTCCAAGTAAAGGCCATTTAATTCTTACCCGAGTCACAATAAATATTGTGTTTGTTTTTTAGTTTTTTGTTAAGTACGTTTTTTTCTACCTCTAGCAAGCAGTATTTGCCTATAATTGTCTGTGTATTTAAGTAACTATTTTTTTTATATTCCATCTGAATATGAATATCATATATGTATGAATGTATGAATACATAAGTTGTTGGTAAACCAATAAAATAAGATAAAACTTTTCGACATTTCGCTTTACTTATTAGTTTTGTTATGCTTGGGTTGGGTTATACTCGTTATTTATCAATAATGCATATTTATTTCACATCAAGCCCTGTCAGTAATTAGATTCTCACGATCATGTTTGAATTTGCAGTACAAGATAAATTGATACTGTTTACTTCGGTCAACAATAGTCTGTAAGTCACTAGTCTCACTAGGGTTACCAACTTTTTTTCTATCAAATATGGTATTTTCGAAACTCCTACCTCTAAAAATATAGTAGACTAGCTGTGCCCCGCGGTGTTACCCGCGGTTTATTAGGGATATAATCCCGCAGTAAAACATAGCCTATGTGTTAATCCAGGGTGTCAGCTAACTCCATACCAAATTTTATTAAAATCGCTCCAGCCTGAAGAAGTAACAAACATACACACTCATACACTCACAAACTTTAGCCTTTATAATATTAGTTGTGGTTATTTGTTCTTAATTGACATTAATCTCTTCAATTCTTGGAATGATATGACATTATTAATTGTTTCATTGATTTCACATAATTTATTTTATTATGACAATAACTTTACAGGATTTTATGTTGATAAAAAACTCTATGGCCCATAACTCATTAATAGGTACCAACTCTTAACATCTTACACACGTGATAACTTTTAAACGAAATATCCGATTGAGATGAAACAAACAGTATTTTACTTCTACATAAATACTCTTGATAACATAATGCTTAATTTCGATAAAGATTAATATTACGATACATATTTAACGTAGCTTTTTTTCTTCAGACGATTTAATAATTATTTTAAACACAAAATCGGTTATTGTGATTAAACCATGATAGCTAGACATATGTTCTCGCGGACTTTTTTGTAGGTCTTAATGGGATCTACTAACCCTTAGTACATCATTTTGTTCTATTGTCAATAGGTTTTGCAGCGCACGCAAAAATAGGTTTACGATTTTACACCTTGTGTTACAAAATAGCAATTTTATTACGGATCCCTAATTTTGAAAAAAAAATATAGTTTAGCCTTCCTCGATAAATGGACTACCCAACACTGAAAGAATCATTCAAATCGGACCAGTAGTTCCAGAGATTAGCGCGTTCAAACAAACAAACTCTGCAGCTTTATAATATTAGTATAGATGACAAAAAAATGGAAAAAAAGATAGTACCTATGTGGTTAAAATATTTATTTTATTTTTGAAATGAGTATATTTTTGCTGCTGTATACCTTAATAATTCAGTTTTTTTTAAGAAAACTTTTACTGGCAATTGTCTACTTTAAGCAAAATAAGTTCACGCCTACTATTTTTTTTAGAAATATGATATTCTATCCCCTAAAATACTAGGATACTATTTATTTATTTTGGTTACATGGAAGACCAACAGCTTATCTTAATATACTAGAAATGAATGAAATGAATAGTTCCGAATGGAATGAGTTATGTTTGTATGTATGTTATGTTTGTGAGTTCTTTTTGTCTACACTTTTTAGATAACGTTTTTTACTTCAAAACAATATTACTTTATGACAAAATTTTTGATTACATTATAACAACATCTTTTGACAGTGTTAGCCGACTAATTTGTAGAGTTTATGCAATCGAATGTATGTCAACCTAAATTTGTCGTATAACACTTTGAAGTATTGGCAATACAATTAATAAACAAAAATTTGATTTTTTTGTAAATGCATGCTCACGCTAAGCAGCCTTTATTAAAAATACTCTAGTTGTAATTTTAGGTTTAATTTAAACAAAAATCCCATAACGAAAATGAAAAGGTAACACTTTTCATTTCGTTAATTTGAGGTTAAAATTTCGAACAATTATCTGTCAAATTCAACTTTGACTTCGAAAGTATTGTGAATAATTAGGGTAGGCTTGGAGAATTGAAATGTCAAACTATTTTCGGACGAACGAATTTTCGAAATGAAATAGAAACAGAGTAAGGAACGTGCGAAATTTCGATCGAAATTTCGTTTTTCATTGAAATAGAGTAGGCCTCCAGGTCCTCACATCTAGACATAACTTAAAATTATAAAGAAACTATTTGCACTGTTCAATGTAATAAACCTATAGTTTTATAAATGAGGTCCTTATGATAAATAACAGAATAACAAATTACGCACATGTTTATTACTAACACTTGTCTATGAATTTAAAGTCTGGAACAAATGTTTGTTATTACTATTATTTTAATTTTAATCTCCAAAAAACAAACGAGCAATGATACGTCTCAATCGACGCTTCACTAGTGTTAAAAAGATCTAAATTTACCTGCTTTGATAGTGAGTTCAAGCTGCTACTCGCTCGACAAAAGAAAGCTATATTATATTGTAGGGTTGGCAACCCTAAGTCTCACTTACAAATGTAACGTATGGATAGATAGGATACACAATAAGTAGGTAGGGTGCCTAAATAAATTACCTCTAGTTAAAAACCTGCTTGTTTTACATAATAGACTAATTTGAACTGCATTCAAGTAGATTAACTTAATGACTTGAATAAAATTGGAATTCTAACTAATTACGTACCTACTTAAAATACAAGTTAACAGAGTTACCTATTTAAATAGTATTTAACATTCCAATTCGCTATTTTTCTTATCTTACTGTTGAAAATAGATTGCCATATCATTAATTTTCATTTTAAGTATGAAACTGCAATTCTATATAGAAAATTTTACTTTAAAAAACAGTAGGTGGGCTAGGTAATAGGTACTATTGAATTAGACACAGAACAAACAACATAGATGTGTTTTTAATGAAATGTAAAGAATCTCCATTAAGTAGCTAATAGGAGATTTAAACAAAACTAGTGGTACTTCCCATCACAGATACAGTAATTGTAGATGATATTCAACACTACTTAATGCTAGTAGTTAGAACTGTTTGTAATGATACATATTATGAGATGATTAATTTGTTGAATCTAAAATTAAAGTAGGTAGACAAATAATGATGTGTAGAATCCTGCCTGGCACCTTTGAACCGCATGGGATTTGTTTTAATATTTTTATTTTTGTAGATCGTACCTAGAATGCCAATAGTTAAGCACTTGGCTTAAACCATAATATTATTTGTCTATGATGATAATAAATACTCACATCCCTAGAAAAATGAGTAATTCGATGCGGGATGAACTACCAGCTGCAAACTATCAATACGATTAAATTATAGGGGTGTACGTAGATAAAAGGACGGTAATGGTATTAAGTAGGCAGAGGGACACAAAAACTTTATGGGACACTTTTTTGTTGATGTAGGGCTGAGCCCCTTCATAATAATAGCTAGGTGCTTACCTGCTTACCTGGCTTAAAATGAAATGGTTGATTTATAAGCAAGTCTGTCTTGTTTTACGGTAAAAAATTTTAAGCATTAAATAACAGTGAATGCTTTGGAGCCTTGAGGCTTATTCGAAATTAATTAGAAACAAACTGGTAACTCAGTTATATGTTTAGGGAAATATTTAAATGATCCTCAAAAAATAATAAATTATCACCTAAATAAAACATACAATTGCTAACAATCAATTGTATGTTTTAAATGAGTGTATATTAGGTATAGTACTGTGGTATCGTATCTATTTAACTACTTTCCCTATTAATGGCAAAATAAAGTCGCTTAAATGTAACAAGACTAGAATCATGGACAAATTTGGATTGGATTTCTTTGATCGTTTAGTTTCAAGGATGTTTACAAATGTTATTTCATTGAATAAAGTTGAAGTATTCTTCATCGTTTTTACCATGATGTTGGGTGTCCGGAATGCAGAGTAATAGTCAGAGTGTATAGTCATCTAGTGCCGCTTAAAAAAATTCGAATCTTTCGAAATCCCCACTAAACTTGACTGTTTTGCAACGGTTATGCATCAGCAAGAGCCTATCTTGTGTTTAAATAATAACATGTGACTCTATTTGCCTACCTCGACGCAATTTCAGTATCGGATGAATTAAGGAATATTTTTTAAATATTATTAATAATGATACCTGTGACCTCAGCTATCGCTGCTAAGCCTTCGACTATATCACCTCCATTCTGAGCCAAGCGGTTATAGTATTCTTCGAAGTCACCTATAATTGGTAATTTTTTGAGTTCACCCTCAATGGTTTTGAGGCCTTCTACAGCACTTACTACATTCTTGAGTCCACCAATTATATCTTTTTTTATAAAATCTTTGATCTTCTGCAGTTGACTCGTCAAAGATTTCGAATATTTTCCTGCAATTATGAAAAATAATTAAGCGGTAAGATGTGAAGCAAGCAAAAAAACAAGAGATATTTCTACTCTTGTTTTTTTCAATGACGTGAATGTGGATGTGAATGCGGGAAACCCACTACACTCTACCTTTCTTGAATTGAATATGTATAATGGTTAATACTTTTGTGTAGGTAATTAAATATTCATTTTATGAGTAGGTAACAAAAATCAATAAAAGTGCAGAAAATCCCGATACTAAGAACCAACAAATACCTAGATAATTTGTCTTTGCACGTCATTCAATATAAAATAAGACTTCTTCTATACAAAATTATTACCTACATATTCATTTTCTCTACTTTGCGCCATAGGCCTAACTGGGATAATAAATCAGGATTAAAGCTATCAAAATTTAAACTTGATAAATCCAGATGAAATATACAGCATTCTGTAATATATTGTTTGAAACTTTCATGGTCACTAACACTATAGAAGTTACTCCGTGATCATGGCGATTGCGTGTAACAGTGCCGAAATATCGGAAACTCGCTAAAAACAAGGTACATGGTAACAATCCCGTAAATTACATCAATTTCTGTAATATTACCAAACACAGCTCGCTCGGTTTCGGCAGAAGTGACACCGGTCAGCAACGGTGAAGTCTGCCTCTTCTTCTTCAAGGTCACTGCTGGTGGTTCCATCACTAGGGTAGGCAAGCCGCGGTGGTCATCTGCGCCCTCAACACGAGCTCCTGCTCCTGCAGAAGCAACAAGTCCATTAGTGACTTCTTTTGTGCCTTATTTAGTAAAAAGTATAACAAAAAATCATCAAAAACTTTTACCTTGTCGTCCAGAAATTTCATTCAAAAACCTATCCGTGTCTACCATATCTGAATTAATTTCATTGTCCGCCTATAATCAGAAATAAATTAACTTAAAATATTTATTTGCCTTTAAAACAAAAATAAAGCTAACGCAGGTCAAACTTAACAATAAATATACATTTTTCAATCACGCAAGAAGTGAAGGAACTCACCAAACATTTCTTTTTTGCTTTATGAAATACCACATGCCTTGACTTGATGATCTGATTATTTATTAGAAGATACTTTTGCTTTTGATTAGACCTAATCATTTTAGGCGGCTTACTGAAAAGATGATGTTCATCTTACCTTTATAATTTGTTCAGGCGGCAGCTTCTTTAAACAAAGGACTAGTCTTTCGACTGGTGTCTCAGGGCAGCCAGTGCGCTTAGCTAGCTCCTGAGCATGTTTGGCAGGATCAGTACGCACAGCTCCCGGTGATAAAGCAGTGCCAGAAAGAGCTACAACACCATCGCTGCTGCGGCCTTCCGAAGACAAAGCCATCAAAGATGCAGCGCTACCACCAGATCCTTGACCCATCACAGTTATCCTCGTTGGATCTCCACCGAAGAATTGGATGTAATCTTTGACCTTAGATTAAGATATTTCAATTTTATTTTATTGAAATGAAATGAAATGAAATGAAAAGTCATTTATTCAGTCTAGGCTGTTACAAGCACTTGTGAAAGTCAAGAAGCTACGCAATCGGTTCGCAAAACTACGGCGGGAGACCTTGTACTGAGAAGAACCGGCAAGAAACTCAGCAAGGGCTGCTTTTTTCTCCCTGTATTGATATATACAGAGTCGTCAAGTTGAAAAATGACTTCAGACATACTTCTGAAGTCACCTTCCATTACATTATTTAGGGTATAGATATATAGTTACAACAAATTTTATATTTAGTATATATAGGAAGCGGCATTAGATAGGTACCATACTACTGTTACAAAACTGACTCATACCCATCAAATAAGAAATTACAAGAAACACTATGTCCATGCATTACGATCATTTAGATAATCATTAACTTTATAATAGCCCTTATTCATAAGAGTATTCTTAATCTGAGATTTAAATTTGGTTAGTGGAAGCTCAATCAGATCTTGGGGAACTTTGTTAAACAATGCTACATCCCAGAAATGAACCTCTAGATTTTTGGAGTCTGAAACATGGAACGGCAAGCTTGTTCTTAAATCTCGTGTTTAAGTTATGGGTTTGACTTTTTTTTGCAAATGCGTCATAGTTTCTTCTTACATATATTATATTTTCATAGATGTATTGCGATGCCAGTGTTAAAATATTAATTTCTTTAAATTTTTCTCTAAGAGATTCTCTTGCCTTTAAATTATATATGGCGCGAACAGCTCTCTTTTGCAGTACGAAAATACTTTCTATATTAGCAGCTGAGCCCCACAACAAAAGGCCATATGACATAACGCTATGAAAGTAACCAAAGTAAACCATTCTCGCCTTTTCCACATCAGTTAGGAGTCTTATTTTTTTAACAGCGAAGGCCGCAGAGCTCAGTCTACTTGATAAGGCATCAATATGAGGATCCCATTGCAGATGCGAGTCTAAAGTAATACCCAGAAACTTTGTAGAATCCACTAACTCTACAGGCTGGTCATTTATTTTTAAACTAGTATTAACCTGCCTCACATTAGGTAAAGTAAACTTAACACATTTTGTTTTGCTAGAGTTTAGTTTTAAATTATTTACCGTAAACCAGCGAAGGACTTCAGAGAGAGCACAATTTACTTCGTCATTATACATATACTTAACCTATAATTTGGTGACAATCTCAATAACACTACCAATTATATTATTAATATATTGTCAATCAAGTACGTATAATTTAGGAGTTAACTGATTTGGTCTGTGATCGTTGAGAAACTTTTTGGTCACCTGGTTATCGGATGGATAATCAAAAATTATTATCTCAAGCTCCTCAGATGCTTCGGAAGATACATTCAGATCTTCGTATTGTCTGCATCTACAGTTCTGACATCGCCCGGGTACACCGGGTTTCAATTTCAAGGTGTCGCCTACTCATAGGTCCTGTGTTCAGATCCTGATGGGGCAAATGATCTTATGATGAATGCAAGCATTTTTACCTAAAGTCCACTAGCACTAAATTTGATAAATCTTGATTTAACTAAAACTAGATATGGCCCATACAAGAATGTGAAATTGATAAGGACGTTTGGACATTTTTATATGGGTTAAATCTAGTTTAGTTTAAGCTAAATCCAGATTTAATAAATTTGGTGCAACTGGGCCAAGTCATGGTCGTTTATATATTATATTTCTAGATGCTTATATATATATATATGTGGTTTTATGAACACATACAGAAAGACAAAGTGTTTAGAGACACATGAGGCGTATGTATGACTATATAGTCATACAACAGCAACATTCCTATATATATAGTATTCTATCCGTTAGCCTAGTATCCCATAACACAAGCCTTTACTTACAAGGTCTGAATGTAAGAAACATATTATATAATTATTTTTATTATCCACAGGGAAGGCTTTAAATAAGTGTATTGGAATCATAAGAGGCTATTTATGTTTTTTTTGCAGTTTTGCTTCATTCGTTAAAAGCACCAACCAATGCTATACCCGTATGTATAAAAACATTGTAAATTACATTGTCAGCAGCCATAGAGCAATACGAATACGGCTACCTTGTTGTCAGCAGCTTATGTACATTACTGATTCCATGACGTCACTGTTTTTCAATTTTACGACGGATAACTTTTGCATGCATCTTACTAACCCATGTACTTACTTACATGGTATTTAATCTAATGTCAAATTATTTGAATGGTAATTGCAACTTTATTACTCACCCAGTTCAAAGCAACGTATATATCAAACAGAGCAGCGTTGCCGGAAGCTTCCTTTTGCCCATTGCTGATAAACCCTAGCGAACCCAAACGATATTGTGCAACTACTAGAATTGTATCTTCTTGGGTTAAATGTTTCCCCTGAAAATCAAGCCGACTTGTAATATAAAAGAAAAGTTAGCGATATGCGATTATGATCAGTGGTTTTGGTCACTTACACCATACGGAGAGGCTGATCCCGTGCGATAGTTTCCTCCATGAATAAAAAAGATGACTGGGCTCCCTAAAGGAAACGACGAACAAACATATAATTACATATGCAACCAAACCATAGTTAAATTATAAACAATAAGAAGATTAATTAACGGATGCTTGTCTGGAAGGACGCTTGGTCTTTGGACGTGTCTGACTGGCTGCTTTAGATGTAAAAGCTCATATGATTTCAAATGATGCCAACTAATTTATGTACAGTTACTACTTGATTTTGCTTAGATACCTACCTCGTTCTTCACCGGGCATTTTCGGAGAGAATAAGTTTAAACAGAGGCAGTCTTCGTGGCCTATCATTCTTTGTGGTGCGTTGGGATCGGGCTGCGGGCATTTTTGGCAAGCACTTGTAGCATTCAGCTCCCCAACAAGGTCACGGCGCACAGGTCTCTGAAACCGGCGGGGCCCGACAGGTGGTTCCGCATATCTGTAAGAAAACAATTGTTCTAAGTTCTTTTTTATGCTCGTTACTACCTGTACCTGTAATATGATAAATGGCCTGCGCAAACGAGGGACAAATTGTCCGCGAACAACTGAGAGAACGAACAGGACAAAGTTACACGGGTAAACCCGAAAAAAAATAGAACTCATGTGACTAGGCACAATACATACAAGAGCAGTACTTTGACTTCATACTAGCGCCCGAATCGGCGCACGCACACAGACAAAAATGTCATTTACAAGGCCGCTAACCATTCTTGGCAAGACAAATCTACGCAGTGCCACGTCGAGCGCCGTCGGCCGCCGAGTCTGATCGATGGCCGAGGTAGGTTAGCTGCGCCGCGCCACGGTAATAATAATATTACCGTGGCCGCGCCTTCACGCCGTCTCCTACGTTTCGATTCCGTAATGTGTAACTATACACATACGATAAAAATCGACACTAATCTATTTTACATTTTGTAGGGACCAACCCTAGTGCTCCGCTCAGTCGTAGGTATCTATTTAAAGAAAATGACTGAGTTACGCTACTGCTCTTGTAGTATTGTGGACTAGGTGCAGCAACGCACACAGGGAACTTAAGTCCGCGTTGCGCGGTCGATCCCATTTATAATAAATGGACCCAGTATTCTTTTAAAAAATCTTCTCTTTTTTAAAACTTCATGGTAATTACAACACAACGTAATCTGAGAATTTATACTTCCAAAGCATACTCTTTTCTAAATTTACGAGGTTTAAGTCCGTAATAAGTCTTTGGTGGACATTTTCTTTGCGATTCAGGGACTTTCGTCCTCCGCATATAAAAGTCCTTCGTCTATGCAGGCTATATGGGTAAAAGATAAATACTATATATGAGCTACTTTTCAGGAGAATCGTAATTTATTTTAAAATTTTCAATGAGCTATAGCTACTTTATGTAACTGATCCATGTTTACCAAGATTTCGTTATTTTAAAATAAACACCAATCGATTGAGCATGTGATTTCCAGTCGAATTATAGGATTGTAACTCATGCACATATAATGTATAACATTATCATTGTAGGTAACATATTTTCGGCTTAATATTACTATTACAGGTGACGATATAATATAACCCGAGGCCCAACTTATTATTTACAGTAGTCCAGTTGCGAAGATAACTGACGCGTCAGAAAAACTTTCGTACTCCCATTATCTGTTTTAGGGTTCTGTACCCAAAGGATGAAAACAGAAACCCATTGCTATCACTCTGTCGTCTGTCTATCTGTCCGTATGCCGTATGTCACGGGTCTCTAGATCCTAAACGGAATGAATTACAGAAATATAATTTTTAAGTAGAGTGTGTGCTTGCCTAAAACCGAATATTTAGTTCAATTATTTTTCATGGAGGATCCCATCCCCAAACGTGAAAAGGAGACCTTTTTTTTACCCATCACATGACGGGGTTTCTTCCGTCCGGATTCGATATAGGTATTTCCCGAAGCATCCATGCCCGAAAGACATCTGCACATCCAGCCATCCTCTCCTTGCTGGGGGTCAAGTACCTAACGGGATTGCTATGGCTATCGCTATCGCTTACCATTTCATTTTGTTATTTCTGACCCCCGAAAGATTTCAAATACCTTACGATCATTTTCTTTAACACATTGTTAGTAAGGCAAAAGAAAAAAAACGAGCACAGGGCATTTCCAAACCTTCAGCGGTCAGAAATAAAAATATGAAATCGTAAGCGACAGTGATAGTTATAGCAATCTCGTTAGACGATTGGCCCCCTGCACATTGCTTCTTTTCGCCTCTTTTAAAGGATCCTTAGTAATAGGAGGGAGCGGGCAAAGCTTTCCGTTTGCGGAAAGTGCGACAAAGTTATGAGTCACCAAAATTCTTTGTCGCGTTTATTTAAACACGCAGCCACAGTTAGTCGGTGGTAACGTAGGCCAGCGCCTGTGGTACTCTGAAGCAAAATTAGGAGAATAACCCCTCAGAACACTCGCCGTGGTATAAAAGATAAAACGCGCTTAATGTTGCTACGTCAGCGTAATTGAAGAGGCTCGAGGTGTTTATTCACCTTCTCATCGCCTACGATGCGGATCGCGCGCCACTGTAACCTATTCAAAATTCCAAAGCATCGAGTACCTAAATACAACCATCCTAGAGGTGAGGGCAATGTTTCACGCAGAGTTGCTCAAGCGTGAAAAATGAAGGAAAATGACGACGTTTGTGTCGTGTAAGCGAAGTCCTGGGGTTTTTTTAGCTGGTACCCCATTCAGAATGTGATCCAAAGTCTGACTGAACATGAACCGTGATAGCTTGACATTTGAAATTTGATTTCACAGATTATTGATGTTCCCGCTCTAACAAAAAATACTAAAAACAGAATATTACAAACATTAAAAGGGGGCAACTAACGTGTTTCATTTTGCCGTTTTTTGCTCTATATTATTAACTAATAATAATAATTAATAAAATTAATATTTGAGTAGTGCTCCTATACAACAGATATGTTTTTTTGCCGTTATTTGTTCGATATTATATAAAAGTGTCTAATGATGTATAGACATGGGTACAGAATCCGTCAAACGCGAGTCCGATACAGTATGGATCACTCGCCAATGGCAGGGATTAATATTATAATCGAGCTCTAAGGTGGTATGTACTTATTAAACTTGAAACGTAGGTACCTACCTAAGGCCGTATACAGAAAGAAAGCCGAAAGCCGATCCTTCCTACTATACATAAAGGAAGCCGATTAAAGCAGATCAAGCAAAATGTCGGACTCATCGGACGATGATATGGTTTTGTTAGAAAATGTTTATTTAAAAATGCGAAAAACAGCTATACATCCTATAAATAGAGAAAGGAAACGTTTCGGAGAATATCATCATTTATTTGTAAAAAAAAAAAAAATTGATGAACAAAGATTTTATACATATACAAGAATGATTCAAGAAACATTTTATTACATTTTGGATTTAGTGAAAAACCGTTTGATGAAAAATTGGGGCAATTGGCATAAACAACCAATCCTTCCAGAAGAAAGATTGTTGTCACCATTCGGTAAGTACGAAACAAATAATTTTAGCGCTTAGTTAATAAAAGATAAAGTTATTAGATTTATAAAAAGATTATAACTTAGATTGATTTAATCTAAGGATAATAATTCAAATACAAATTATTTATTATTCGGACCAGCGCGTGTCGGCGCTTATCGGCGCCGATCGGCGCCGATAAGCGTCGATAAGCGCCGATCGGCGCCGACTCTCGCTGGTCAGCTGCAATTTTAAATTAATAAACAACGACAACAGGTACGTCAATTACTACACGCAATTATTTTTTAAGTAGAAAAATGGATAATGACATTTTGATATCCTTAGTATTCACTAAACAACCTCTGTGGGACAAAACCGACAAAAGGCACTGTAATAGATACGTGGTTGACAAATGTTGGAAAGAAATAAGCGAGGCCATGAATGAAGACGGTGAGTAGGTATTAATTGATTTTGTTTTAGTTTGTCGACTTACATAAAGTTAGTGAACATTTAAATCGGTTAAGTATTACAACTTCTTTATTTAAATATTACCTATGTCTTAAGAGCCCTTCAACGATATTAAATACCCTAGATACAACCTCACGAACAAAATCGTGGCCGAAACCTGTCTAATAGGTACATTGGACGATCCACGGAACTAAGCACGGAGTAAATTGATCGCGTAGTGAAAAACAATATTAGGCCGTATACAGAAAGAAAGCCGAAAGCCGATCGGCGCCGATCAGCGCCGATCGGCGCTTATCGGCGCCTATTGACGCTGATCCTTTTTCTATGGACCGGCGCCGATCGGCGCCGATAAGCGCCGACACGCGCTGGTCCGCATAATAAATAATTTGTATTTGAAGTATTATCCTTAGATTAAATCAATCTAAGTTATAATCTTTTTATAAATCTAATAACTTTATCTTTTATTAACTAAGCGCTAAAATTATTTGTTTCGTACTTACCGAATGGTGACAACAAGTCTTTCTTCTGGAAGGATTGGTTGTTTATGTTAATTGCCCCAATTTTTCATCAAACGGTTTTTCACTAAATCCAAAATGTAATAAAATGTTTCTTGAATCATTCTTGTGTATGTATAAAATCTTTGTTCATCAAATTTATTTTTTTTTACAAATAAATGATGGTATATAAAACTAGTTTTTACGGATTAATGCACGAAACTTTATTTATTTATTGACGTTTCGCAGCCTTTTCAGGTCTGCATCGTCAGAATAATGATTTTTTATAAAAAATCATTATTCTATTCTTAGGTTTTCACGCACATCACTCATTAAATAAAACTAGTTTTTACGGGTTAATGCACGAAACTTTATTTATTTATTGACGTTTCGCAGCCTTTTCAGGTCTGCATGGCTGCGAAACGTCAATAAATAAATAAAGTTTCGTGCATTAAACTGTAAAAACTAGTTTTATTTAATGAGTGATGTGCGTGAAAACCTAAGAAACAAATAAATGATGGTATTCTCCGAAACGTTTCCTTTCTCTATTTATAGGATGTATAGCTGTTTTTCGCATTTTTAAATCAACATTTTCTAACAAAACCAAATCATCGTCCGATGAGTCCGACATTTTGCTTGATCTGCTTTAATCGGCTTCCTTTATGTAGGAAGGATCGGCGCCGATAAGCGCCGATCGGCGCCGATCGGCTTTCGGCTTTCTTTCTGTATACGGCCTAAGGCATTATTTAATCATTGAAAGTCACCTTTAATGCATACTTTTTAAGGTCTTAATTAAAAAGTATGCGTCAGAGTTATGACAGTTCAAAATGCAAGCAAGGTAGAATTTTACGAATTTATTGCTATATGCGGAAGAATATACACCTTATTCATTTGATTTTACGCGCAGTTCTGAATGCGCTATTCGCAATGTAACAGATACGGACCGTGAGGAAAAGAGACAGCTATATTACCGACCATGCATTTCAATATCACAAATATTTTCTATTAAATCAGTTTATAGTAAGTATTAGAACAAAATTTGCTTCCAATGCGTTAAATTAACAAACGTTTATTAGATACCTGTCGAGAAAATGACACTTTAGTATTTATTTCGCATTTTTTCACGGAGCTCTGCGAAATCTCGACTGTCCAACGGTCCGCGCGGGGTTTAAACGCCGTGTTTCATGGTGTCGCCGACTCGAGAGGTCCCGGGTTCGAATCCCGGTGAGGACAGATGTTTATGTAATGAATATGAGCATATGTACTCCAGTCATGGATGTTTAATATTTATTTCTATATAAATATACTTATCGATGTAACACAAGCCTGATAGTGCTTACTTTGGGGCTAGGCTAATTGGTGTGAGTGTTGGAAATATTTATTTAGTATATCCAGCCGGTTTACGATAAATGCACTCGAAGAATTTGTGACGCGTGCGACATAAAATGTCATCATAGATACCTCGAAGGGCGTTGGCGCCGTACTGATCGGCGCCTAATTGTCGAATTATAAATAATTTGTATTTGAATTATTATCCTTAGATTAAATCAATCTAAGTTATAATCTTTTTATAAATCTAATAACTTTATCTTTTATTAACTAAGCGCTAAAATTATTTGTTTCGTACTTACCGAATGGTGACAACAAGTCTTTCTTCTGGAAGGATTGGTTGTTTATGCCAATTACACCAATTCTTCATCAAACGGTTTTCCACTAAATCCAAAATGTAATTAAATGTTTTTTTAGTCATTCTTGCATATGCATAAAATCTTTGATCATCAAATTTCAATTCTTTAACAAATAAATGATGGTATTCTCCGAAACGTTTCCTTTCTCTATTCCCTCTATTTCCTGTTTTTCGCATTTTTAAATAAACATTTCCTAACAAAACCAAATCATCGTCCGATGAGTCCGACATTTTGCTTGATCTGCTTTAATCGGCTTCCTTTATGTAGGAAGAATCGGCGCCGATAAGCGCCGATCGGCGCCGATCGGCTTTCGGCTTTCTTTCTGTATACGGCCTAAGTTTTTTTTGTCTAAGTTATTATTCTAAGTCTATAAGTTTATACAGCAACAAAGTTAACTACGATAAAAGTTTTTATACATATAAATAAGTAGATGTCATACAACCTCGTTGACTCGACTGTTTTGGAATGCTTTTGTTATACATAGTACAAATGTAGGTATTGTTTTGGTACCTTTAATTTCTTTGATGCGAAAAGATTACTATAAGCACCCGGTACTTTTAGATACAGTTCCAACTTTCAAATACAAAACCTTATTCCGTAGAAGGAGTAATATCCCAAACGATTGTCTTTTATGCCTTCGATCCGCGCCGATCTGCCGTGCAACTGAGTGAAGACGACGGCTGCGTCGGGCTCCGGGGCAGCCGCTGGCGCCCCGCCGACCACCGCTATCACGGGCCTCGCTACCAGAAAACATACGCCCACAAACACTGCCAACGAGAAACACCACGACCACACTCCACGCATTTTGTTAGCGAATAATTCAGATATCCCACCCATCCACAGGAAACTGCTTCCGCTGTGATAGGAGTAATCGTTATTTTATTAAATTCTCATATTGTATCCAAGTAGGATTTGTTATCAATAATTTCGCAAAGCCCAATTTGCGGGTTCATGTACTGTTCGCGTAATCTGGATAAGGCATAAATACGATAGCCTAATAGGATAAATCACAGAACACAGAAAGCGGCTTTTGTGTTCTATGGTATAAATCATTGCTTATATTTGAGGAGCTTAGGAACAAAAAGTGTCCTTTACAGTTTTTAACTTTTTGAGTATATTGAGAAAATAAATATTCAAGTTGATCTAAGCAATTTTATTATTTTTTATCAACCATTTATGTGCCATACCATATAATGTATTATAAGATTATTTTGCTGGTATTGAAATATGGAAAAAAATACATATCAAATGACACCCTTTGATCCTATAGCTTGTAAAGGTCGATTCACACATATCAGTGAACCCACAGTTCCGGCACAGTACCGTTACAGTTCCGTAGCCGTGCAACAGTGGTGCGTCAGTGCTTCAATTCACACATATCAGGCACAGTACAGTTCTCTGCGGGTCTTCGTGCACGACGTTCCCTTCAGACTAGCGTTGACGTCGATTATTTTGATGGCACTCTTCAATAACACAGAATTAGCTATGATAGCCATTGCTTTAGACGAAGAAGAAGAAGAAAATCGAGGAAAAAAAAGAAAATGGGTACATGAAGCATGGAAGTTAAGAGAATCTGAAGGAGAATTCGTGACATTATACAAAGAATTAATTGAAGACGAAAGAAAGTATTTTGAATATTTTAAAATGTCGGAAAGCTGTTTTAATATTCCTTCAGAAGCTGGGAAATAAATTAGTAAAGAAAGATACTCGATGGAGGAAGGCTATATCTCCTAGAGAGCGGCTCGCAATTTGTCTAAGGTAGGTAAACCGGATGTTATTAACTTTATTTTTACCTTTTTGGAGGTAGAAACAGTCGATAACATATCAGTGAACACATTTTTTGCAGTGCAGATGTATCCACTGACAGGTATGTTTAAGGATAACCTTTTAATTAAAATTCTGAAAATATGTATTTAAATCAGTTTTTATTACTTCGTATGTGGCACATAAACACATTATACTTTTAACACTTTGTTAAGTTCTAAAGCATTATCATTCGTTAAATGTAGAGTTCATAACAAATTGCTGCACATCACTATGTTGTGTGGGATCTACTATATTAGCCAATCCAGTAGAGTCAAGAATAGATTGCGATGTGAGATTTATATTTGTTGGTTCAGTTGCAATATCTCTTGGATATGATACTACTATATTAGCCAATCCAGTAGAGTCAAGAATAGATTGCGATGTGAGATTTATATTTGTTGGTTCAGTTGCAATATCTCTTGGATATGATACTACTATATTAGCCAATCCAGTAGAGTCAAGAATAGATTGCGATGTGAGATTTATATTTTTTGGTTCAGTTGCAATATCTCTTGGATATAATGGTACATTTTGCTCTGTCATCATCTTCATCTCATATTTTTGCACAGTTGTAAATATTTCAGTCTTTGCCAAATTTAAGTAATATTGATTCAAATTCTTCAGTGTGGGTGCAATACCATTTAAAAAAGCATCAACTGGATGCTCGACGCGTTCGGCTTTTTCTTGATTTTTTTGAAGAACATATTCCATTAATGAAGATGCTGAGGATGGTTTTGGTGTGCATTTTGTCGAACCTTTTCTCTTTCTTAAAGTAGATGTAGTAGATAGAGACGCCAGTGATGGTGGTGATGGAGTGGATACATGGCTTGGTGATGGTGTGGGTGTGCGGACGTACAATGGTGATGCAGTAGACACATGGCTTGGTGATGGTGTGGGAGTGCGGACGCACTGTGGTGATGGAGTGGATACGTAGCTTGGTGATGGAATGGATGCTTCGTGACTAGCGACAATGGGTATATCAGGTGAAATGGATACGGTATTTCGAGGCTCGTTGGTTTCGGAGTCAGAATTTTCTTTTTCTGGTTCTACACTTTGTACTGTCGGTCGTTCATTGAAATATTTTTTCAAAAAATGTAATTGTTCATAGTATTTGTATAATTTAACATTGGTCTTCTTTTGTCCACTTTTACTTTCCGTTTTCTTCAACGATTTTCGATAGTTGTCTCTTATGTTATTCCACCGTGTTTTGCATGTTGAACCTGCAATGAAAATAATATTATATATAGATTTATTTGTTTCAGGTATCTAACAACAGGGGATTCTCTGAAGACAATTTCATTTAGTTACCGCTTGGGCCACAGCACAGCATATTCCATAGTTATGGAAACATGCAAGATAATAAAGGAAACTCTGATGAGTGAAATGCTACCTTTGCCTACAGAAGATAAATGGAAAACTATTTCCAATGACTTTAAATTGTTGTGGAATTTCCCTAACTGTGTTGGAGCACTGGATGGTAAGCACATAACAATTCAGGCTCCCTCGAAAAGTGGATCTCTATATTTTAATTACAAGAAAACATTTTCAATTGTTTTGATGGCCCTTGTGGACGCGAACTATAATTTTATTGCCGTTGATGTGGGGTCTTATGGCAAAAACAGTGATGGTGGCATTTTTGCAAATTCCAACCTAGGAAAAAGACTACAGCAAGGAACTTTAGGTATACCTGGAAATTCTCCGTTGCCAGGAACATCAATAGAAACACCACACGTGATTGTGGGAGATGAAGCATTTCCTCTCAAAACATATTTAATGCGACCTTATTCAGGGCAAAATTTGAATGACGACAAGCGCATTTTTAATTATCGTTTATCAAGAGCAAGAAGAATTGTTGAAAATACTTTCGGTATATTAACACAAAAGTTTAGAATATACAATAGACGGATCCAAGCTAACCCAGAAAATGTAGATAATATAGTACTCGCTACTTGTATTTTACATAACTTCATCAAATATTTTAATCCAAATACAACACATGCATCAGATTATGAGGGTAATCAACCTCATACAAGTAGTTTACTGGAAACTGTGCAACCTCAAGGCGGAAACGCCACAGCGGGCGCATTTCACGTTAGAGTAGTATTCAAAAATTATTTTATTTCTGAGGCAGGATCAGTACCCTGGCAAGAAGATAAAATATGATTTGTACTTTATCTATTAAAATAAAGCAACTTACACTTTGTTATTTTATTTTAAAACCAGCGGCCCATCTCGACTTTCACTAACGATTACTCACTACCCTATCCCTATTACGAGCTGTCAGAATTATCATCTATATATACAAATTAAATAGATTTTAGGTTCAAACACATAGACAAAAATGTAATAATTCCTCTTTACAATAGCACTGTAGATAAATAAATTTTGACTTACCGTCTACATTCATTTGTGTTCCTATTTTGTTCCACAAATTGTTTTTGTATTTTGTATCCATATACTTTGCATGAGATAAATCATACAAAACATGATTCTCACGAACTAATTCAATCAACACCTCGTCTTCCATTTTGTTTTCGATGCAGCGGCGTCAGTGATCCGTGATAAAATATCGTCTTCGCCGATCACGTCCATGATGGCCGGTGCCGGCACTGACACTGACGGTACTGAGACGACACTGACACTGACAAGTGCGAATACATCCATAGAGAATGTTTGAAAGAATAATTATCACTGATGCGGTACTGTGCCGGAACTGTGGGTTCACTGATATGTGTGAATCGACCTTAAATGTACCTTTTGATTCAATAATTTTGTAAAATGTCACCTTTTGAAACTCACTGTTTAAAAATTGTTACCTTATAAAACATTCAGTATGAAAATAAAAATAGATTCACACAAAACATTTTTATTTCTTTTACATACAGGGTGTAAGAAAATCTTTAACGAAGTCGAAGGTCACCACGTATTTTCCTAATCATGCCGATCATTTTTTTCTTCTGGACCATACCTGGGAAATTTATGGTTATGGAGATATTGAATGTCAAAGTAAAATGTTTTTTTCAAGATTTATATTAATATTTTCAAAACACTATTTAGTAATTTTTTATCGGGTCACTTACACACACAAACACACAGGCACATTCTTTGCGTAGCGCTACATTAGTGCGCCACGCTATACATTGCGTAGTGGGAAAAATTGTATTTTTTTAACTTAAAAATACAAATGATTCCCACGTATAATATTTTGTAATATAACTTGTTTGAGTGTACAGAATACGTAGTTTTAGTCTTTGTCATAGGTTTTTTACACACTGTATTGTCCACAATCTGATTCCTAGTTTGAACCGACTAAAGACTTTTCAAACGTATTTCTTAAGAATATGTCACTTTTTGAATTGAAGTATTAATAATCACTGTGATTGAATAAAAATGAAACTTTTTGTTCCAGAAGCAGCAGTTCACATCGTTTATTTTTATGAAACAACTGACTTTTTCATCAAAATCTTGGAAGTTACAGAAAGGATTTAACATTTTGAGCCGATTAAAATAAAAAAACCGAATTGAGCAAAATACGTAAATGACACTTTTTGTTCCTAAGCTCCTCGTTTACGTACCGTAAAACACGCCAACATTGTCCGCTTTTTTCAATTAATCGTCATCATTTTTGGATTTTTCTTTAAGTGGACTTACTTAGCTGAGTACTAATGGTACAGATATTAAAATAATGACGCGATTACACTTGGTAGGTAGCTTGGGAATAACGAGTGCCATTGGAATTCGGCTAAAAACGACTAAGTGTAATTGAGCCATAAATCTCGTGCGATCAGTTAGCAAAGCTTCCCCGTTCGGTGACTCGCTTAAGAGAACCTTTTACTTCTGACCCAAAGCCAGACCGCCAATCCGAAACTACAGCTCTAGGGATATTTGGTGCACGTGCTGTCATCCACATAGCAATGCGTGCCGGGTACTGATAGAATTTTGTGGAACCCATGTTTAGAGTCCAGCGTTAATAGTTATGAGCAAAGAGCTGCAGCCATCAATAACGACTTTAATGCCCCTGCAGTCTAAAACGCTGACGACAACGTGGATAAAAGTGCTGGTAGGTCAATGAAATATGCTATTCGCTATGTGCACGACAGTAGCGCCACCTACAATGCGCAACTTTCCGGGATTATGCCAAATAATCACATCAGTTTGTATTTTATTGATTTCTAGTAAATATAGTAAGGTAAAGATAAATAAAAATTATTATATATTGTATAATAATTTAAATAATGTCGGATTTCAATTCGGAATTCAGTACAGTCAATAATAACTCTTGTATTGATGTAATCTGGACTGAAACACTTGGGCATTGGTGCTTGTACGGTGGCTCTATTCGGCCAAAAGATTAAATTAGCAGTTGAACAAGCTAGATTTTGTAAGATCGAATGAAATATACGTGAGATTGTGGTTTTTTTGTACACCAAATAACACACTCAATGCTGAAAATGTCAAGCCAGTTTTCATTTTTATCAAAAAAATCAGAAGTCGGTCTTTAGTGGAAACTGTACATTTTCTCATAGTTAATCTTGTTAATAAAAACTCAAAATTGCTAAATGACACACCAGAAGGATCTAGGAGTTCTTGATCATTTGTTATTGATGAAATACCAACAAATTCTTGACTTTTTGTTTCGGTAGATTGATCCTCATACGATTTTTTGTCAGTGCCACAGCTTTTATCTTTCTTTCTTGAATTATTTGTCATTAAAATTCTTGATGTTGGATCACAGTGATCACTGTAAATTAATCTAATACAAATAAAAGTTGTATCTCTTAATTTCGATTCAGAAAACATATTGACTTGACATCCTTGATCGATCATAAAAGGTTGAGTTTGATTTAATTCACTCCCTTCTTCAATTATTATTTGACTTGATGTGGTATCTGAGACTTTTGTGGTTCTTCGTTTTGTCAAGCGTGTATATCTAGCTAGGACCTGTGAATCATTAACCTTCCTCTTTCGATATATTTCAGGGAATATCGTAGGAGCATAACTCGGATTTTCTTCCTCGTCTGATTTTTTGTTTCCCATAAAATGTTCACTACAAATTGTGTCGTCAGGTTTGGGATACCATGGCGACCCATCAACACTAAAATAATAAAGACAATAATGAATATCACATAAAATATATAGCGCAAATAAAATTGATCATAATTTAAGGTTATTTCGCTTACTTATTTCTTTTTATGGCATCTATCCATTTATTTCTTTGATTTAATTTCCAGTCCAATGTAGGAAATATATACACAGACTATTTGTGCCCTTATTTTTGCAATTCACAACACAACAACATCTATTAATAGGCATTTTAAAAAATTTTTGTTTATTACGAACTCCGTGCAAATTGACTTTACTTTCCCGAATTGTTGCGTATTTCTGCCACGATAAGCGCTGCGATCGCTTCACTATACCCCCACCATGTACTTCGCACATAGCGAATACTCAAACTAACTATATTAGTTACAGGCTATTTACGTAAAGGCAGAAGTTTCATCGGAGTATTTTTGGACCTCCAGAAAGCCTTCGACATGGTTTTGATCCGGATATTATTGAAATGCCTTGAAGATCTTAGTGTAAGTGGTGTAGTGCACGCTTGGTTTACTGATTTTTTGACAGGCCATATCATTGGATTAGACAACCATTATAGAAAAACGGCTCTGTGTCGCTACGGCTTACCATTTCATTGTATTAAATTATATTTTCCGGATTCGATATACTTAGGTATTTCCCGAAGCCTCCATGCCCGGAAGACATTGCACCATCCAGTTATCCTCTCCTTGCTGGGGGTCAATTGCCTAACGGGATTGCTATGGCTATCGCTATCGCTTACGATATCGTATTTTATTTCTGACCTACTATATAACTTATATAAGGGGGATCTCCACAAATATCTTAACTACGATTGTAAAATTCTTCAGTACGCGGACGACATTGCACTCTACCAGTGCGGTCCGTCTATTGAGGATTTAGCTAAACAACTAAATATTTCTCTAGCATCTCTAAACCAATGGCTCTTAAATCATGGACTGGCACTAAGCGCCCCTAAAAGTTCGGCGGTAGTGTTTAGCCGCAGAAGAAATATCCCGATAGTTATTATCTCCATAAATGATGCTCCAATCCCAATTAAAAATAGCGCGAAATTCCTGGGCTTCGAGTTGGACTCTAGGCTGTCTCGACAGGCACATACTGCAGCGATTTCAAAAAAATGTGAACAACGTGTCGCAATCCTAAAAGCACTTGCAGGTGTCTGGTGGGGGGCTAGCCCATACACCCTCAAGATGGTTTACAATGCTTTAATTAGAAGTGTAATAGACTATTGCTGCTTTGTACTTGAACCATGTAATAAGGACACCCTTGCCAAACTGGAGGTCATTCAAGCTAAATGCCTCAGGATTATAATTGGAGCCATGAAGTCCTCTCCTATTAACGCCCTCCAGGTGGAATGTGCAGAGCCTCCATTGTCCTTGAGAAGACAATACTTAGCGGATCGTTTTTTTCCAAGGTGTTTACACTCTCATCTCACCCCTTATTGCCTATAATGGAACAACTTGTGGCCTCTATGGAGGGTAACCCCTATTGGCATAAGAAATCGGTTCCTCCCTTGATTAAAAGATACACGGAGCTTAAACGCTCCAGTTCACGCATTAGCCGTTATTCTAAGCTTCCTGTGTTTTCTTTCCCATACGAGTATTTGCACTTTAGAACACCAAATATTATTTTAGATCTGTGTATAGCAAAATCGGAGTTCAGGTCAATAGTTGACAGTCGATGGCAAGGTTGAAACCTTTTCTTCACTGACGCTTCTAAAATATCGGAGCCAAGCTGTACGCCGTGTACGGGCGAGTGTATAGGAATATTGGAAGCCGTGGAATACATTGAAAGTCATAATATTAAAAACTCTGTTATCTTTTCGGACTCGTACAGTGGTGTTCGGGCATTAATACAGGACCCCATTTACAACAAAATAAAAAGTGATATAGTCATCCAAATTAGAAATAAATTATTAAACTGCGAAAGAAAAGACCTGACCGTTTCCATTGCTTGGATTCCTAGTCATTCGGACATTGCAGGCAATGAATGTGCAGTTTCCCTAGCAAAGTATGCCGTTTCTAATGAAGTTGACCGAAAACCAACCGGTTATACAATTAAAACCGTGGTTTTACAAAAGTAAGAACTTACCTAAACAAGTTATATCAGTTTTATCAAGATTACGCCTCGGTCACTGCTGTACCCCGGTATTCTTGCATAAGCTCCATATTCGAGACAATTCATTGTGCGAATGTGGGCTTGATGAGGGTACAATAGACCACATATTTTTCTCTTGCGCAAAAAATTGAAAATCTTTTAATCTCTACAGCGAGTTGGTAAAAATTAAGGTACCGCTTCCGATAAACATTCGATCATTTTTGGCAATTTTTTCTTCCCAAATAATTCTTATCTCGGCGAAATTTATTCATGATAACAATATTAAACTGTGAATGTATACTGTAACTACAACTCTTAATTCCTCATAACTCCTTTTAATATAACAATATAAATTCATTATACGGAAAAAAAGGAAGCGGCTCCTATCTTCATATTCCCTTTTCCAAATAATATGTAATATTTTCCAAATAATAATATGTATAATATATGCACGCCTTTCCAGAACTCCACTGACAATTCGACGCTGATATCTCTCAGTACGGGACGCTGGCAGATGGGCCCCAGAAGGAAGGCACATTAGCAAAAATAAAATAAAAA